CTGTTTTTAAGTGAAGTGGGATCCATAATGTAAGAGACATCAGCTGTCTGTTGTGGGTTTAGACATCTGAGGTCGTTTTTGCCCTTTTAGGGGTGTTTGAAACTTGCTCTGTGGTTTGATTAACAAAAGTTGACGTTTTACTCGTTTTCCCTTCCTAAAGAGGGGCGTTTTTAACTGCAGTTTTTGATACAATTTTGGTAGTTATTTTATGGGCATGAAGAAGCCAAGCATCAATACGATGTTACTATAGGATGTTAATAGTTACATGGGTGTCGTACAATGGGATGGCGTGCCCTCATTTTACCGGACGCAAATAAGTACATTTTCGAGGGTAAATGTGAGGGAAGGGGTGAGGTTGATATGTAGCAACGAGAGAGATCAATCCTCTTTGATTAATTGAAGTCATGACAGCTTTAATAAACTGTTTATATACACGGCTGACCGTTTTGGTATTTTGATCCCCGGACCACGAACGTCAATCCGCGGGAATATGTCGGCTGTGACGTCACAGAAGGGGGCACACTGAATGGCATGGATTCTAGAGAGAAACAAGGAGGGGAATAGGTTCTCATGACAAAAGGGAATACTTATGAGGTGGGATGATAGAGGAGAAATCTTGTTGATAAACATCCACGATAAGGGTCACATGTCGCTTCGAGAGCACGGCATGCCGATGATGTAAGTCTGCCCATTGTGACGTCAGAAAAGATCTTGGTAGACACTGATGAGACATGATGGAAGTCTTGACTCCATGGACCATTGGTATGTTTGTGTTCTTGTTAGCATACATTTATAAGGTAAGATAGACAGACAGACAGAAGGACCGACAGAAAACAACACCCGGCGTTTTCGAGTTTCTGTTTTCTGGTTGTGATTATATCCTTCTACTCTACCATTAGGATCTCATATCAAAATCACATACTTAATGTAAAAATTGGGGCCGTATTGTATATTGAGATGCTGAAGACATCTCGAAGAGTTACAGTGGTGTAGAGAGCATAGAGTCCTCTCTGTTTCGTCAGAAGTAAGACCTTTTATGTTCACATGCTCTGTCCAAAAATGTCTGAAATTTTTAATTGAATGGCCATTGTAAAAACGCAATTAACGGATTGGGTATGACATAGTTAAGTTAACATCAGATTCTACGTAAAATATTGTGTTTCTTATTATTTTAAATTACGGAGCATGGACTGATTGCATGGGCCGGGCGGGAGGCGTAGGCTATACCGGTATATGATTTGACCACATCCGAAACCGGGTATGAATGAAGTTCCATGATGAAACATGTTTCGTTTTAAGTCTGTTGCAATGAAGGGAATTTCCCCTTTTCTCTACTTTTAGAAATCCAGATCGGAGCTTTCAGTTTGGTTTTGCCGGGTCATTGGATAAAATAATGATTCCCAAGATAAAAGGAAGCATTGGAACAATGGAGGCGTGCAAGATTGCACTGTTCCCGTCTTGCCTTGCTTTATTTCTTCCTTAAAGTAGAAAGTAAAAAGTGAAGGTCACTTCAAAAACTGAAAGAAAATTTATAATGGTTGTCACGACTCCAGAAAAGAAAAAGAAAAACAAAAACAAAAGATCATCAAACTAGAGGATTCGCAATCCAATAGCCATGTTATGAGTGTTGATGTTGCCTTGGTGACCGTTTTTATACTTTTGTTCATGCCGTGACAGCCGCTGCTTATACATTTTAAATTGCATCCTTTAACTTAGGTCTAAAAAATTAAAATTTAATTAATTAAAAACAAAAATCTATAAATATATATAAAAAAAACTTTCAATTCAGAAATACTTTCTCTTCTATGCAATAGCTACCTCCTGGTGACAAGCACAACCAAAATAAAGATAATCGAAAAGAATTGCCGCTATTATCAAAATAGCTGCAACAATTTCAAGGAATTTACTGAGTTATGTGGAATGTTAATCGATTCTCCAAATGTGATTTTTTTTAAACAAAGATTTTAAATACTAAAACAAATATTTATTATAATATTATGCAGTAATTTAATTAATGGAAAGGGCGATGTGTCTTCTAATGCTTTCCGTGTCATAAATTGTGCCCACCATTCATATATATGGCTAAAAATATCTTGTTTCCCTACCTTTTGTGGTCAGTGATTTACACTCTGTTTTCTTCCGTAACGGTTTTTTTAGGGGTCCTAAATAGTTGTATTCTGTTTTCTGAAATAACGAGCTTTACACAAACAACACCTTTCCAAAACGTCAAACCATTGCGTGTACAACAACCCACAAAAGCTATCAAAAAAAGAAAAGGCCAGGGACCACAGATTTGTTGAAGACTAACGTCAACTAGTGATAAATCTCCTGCTTTTGGCTAATCAAAATAATACTTCAACTTGTTCATCGTCAACAACGTTTCCCGTTGATTGTTTTCCAGACCATTCTTTCTGCAATCGGTGAAGAAAGCTTAGTGAAAAAAAGAAAAGCGTTTGTACAGTGAAGTGAGGCTGATCCTTTCTTGAAAAGAAAAAAACAATACAGGCTTATATTCCTTTCTTTAAATTCAATATTATAAACTATATTTATATACTATATTTAATTAAGAATCTCATGTAAGGTATTTCTTGGGAAAGTTAATTGCACCATTGTTGTGGACTTGCATCATATCAGTGCATGTTGGAAGAGTTGGAAAGAAGTGTTTCCCCCCCCCCATTATTAAAGAGCAAGGAACAGCTCTATGCATATATACACAACCAGATTTTGCTTTGTGGAGCGCCATGCTGTAATTAGTATTACTCATTATGCCGGCGTGAATAGAATAAAGTCCATGTGTACTTGGTGGTATTTTTTTATCCATCTTTTTATTTTGGCCGATGAAGAAAAACAAAAAGCAAATCAAACATTTAGACCTCTGATAGAGATACGTGTGTTGATAAAACGGGATACACTTTCAAATAATTATTGTCGGATTTCACTACAAAGCAATCGGTCGAAATACCAATAATGTAATGACAGTCAATAGTGAAAGCTAAAACGAACGGCATTGCTGATATCCGTCAGGACAACTAGTTCTCAATTCTGACCGTTTGTTTTTCGAGCGTAAGTTGGAAATCTCAGTAGGCATATATTTGTGAGTGCATAGTGAGGCAGTAATGGGTGAAACTCTGTTTCCGTGTTGCCATTTTTTTCACGAGGATCGGAGATAAGAAAAAAATCTTGCGTGGAATCCTTTCCGTAGTATCAGGCCCAAGGCGTGCGACCACACGTAAGATACGCCCTGCACTTCTTATTAGTGATCAAGAACTATTATTACCCAAAATGCCCAAGGCATGCACGGAGCACATGATGGTGTCTACGATGACAGCAGCATACATCCGCGGACCTGTCGACCCGATGATATCGGTCCGATTCCCCTCACCACATACCCCCTTGATCACGCCCCTCTGGGTCGCCAGTGCGGAGTTCAGAAATTAGATACTTTAAATAGGTGGCGCTTTCTTAGAGTAGGGCGTTGTGAAGGATGCAGGCCAGTAAGTAGGCCCGAAATGCCTACGCCGGCCAAATTACGATTTGCATGCCCTCAAACTCTCCAACTAGACGATCGCAGTGAACTTCAGAATTACGATTAGGTAAAAAAGAAATACAATGATAGGCAAGGAAACACGTCAGGTTTTCTGTTCCTTAAAGCCAGGTATCCGTAATAAATAACATCTGTCAACGTTGTGCTTCTAGATTATTGTGTACATGTCGTTTCTATGATGATAATGAGTCCGGATCAGTACCTGGAAATTCGATGAAAAAGTTGTTCTGCATTTAATTTCAAATCCTTCTTTCAATTTAGACGTCTGGAGAGAAGAGGCCACGGCGGTTCAAGTATATAAAACCCGGACATGTTTAAACACGGAACAAAACAATTGAAAAAATAAAATGAAAACATGGCTGGATCCAGCAGCTGCTGTACGGGCCGGTGAAACATATATCGAGATGTGCCAAATGAAAAAAAAACTATGTTGATTTCTAATGGACATTTTCGTAGCAAAAAGCTGTGACACATAATATAACAATATCACACTCGAATTCAAAATTTTAGGATCAATTAGTAAAAGTGTGAACCCTTGTCATATTGCAGCTGTTTCAAATCATCAGGCTAGGATGTGTTTCATACCGATTGCTAAAGAATACCAGATGTCGAGCCTAAAACCATAAGACCTACTTACGAGCGAGAATTTTATTTTTGACTTTTCCCGAATTAAGCCAGAGGGCAGAACCGTGCTATTCGGAGTTGAAATGAGGACATATCGCGATCTTGGCACGAAGAGGGGCAGGAAAAAAAGCCCTCTCCTCAGCGAAACTCGGGGTTGCATCCTAGCCCGGGGCGACGTGTCAGCTATAGCCGGGTAACTGCCGGGGCCTTCAGTCCTTTTACACCTGTCCACGGAGTTAACCCCACCTATTGTTCCGATGATAGCCGCCAAATGCCCGCGGGGACGCCGGGAAGCCAAGGTGTTGAAATGACCGGACAAAAAGGAGTCAGGCGCCGGCCAGGTACGGGGCACGGGATAGGGCCTGGCTCGTTAAAAGACAAAAAAAGAGAGTTAGGAAGAGAAAAAGGCGCTGGATAAAAGTCCCAAGTGCATCGCGTGAGCAGCCGCGAGACAGACAGCCAGTTACAGTGTATATGCTTTTATCTCAGGGTCCCTAGTGACGAACAGAAGGACATGGCTTACATAAAGCAACACTCTGTTACCGATAGGGTAAAGTGGGGTAAGTGGGACACTTAAACACATTTTGGAGTGCTGCACCAAAATTAAAGATTGGATTCACAAAAATTAAAGCTTTTTAAAATTGTTAATGTCTCTTCTGTACATAATGATCATTTTGGTCCACTAGCTGCATTATTTTTTGATAAATGGGGGAAAATATGACAGGACTGAAATGTCGGATTTTCCTTTGCGCATGGGGTAAGTGGGACAGTCATATGGGGTAAGTGGGACACACACAAAATACATCACAATGTACATCATAAAACACTTTTCTTTCAAGAACTGATGCCTTTCTATTAACAGCAGCTTATCAATCCTGTTTGAAAACATTGTCATTCGAAGTGGGCAAGAAATTGCAAATGTACATTAAATTAATTAGATGAATTACATTGGTTTAGGATGCATCCATCATGTCCGAAATCAGTGTACATGTTCATGTGTACAATCAATGTGAACAAAAAGATTCCCTTTAGAACAAATTTCCAACCAAAAACCTTATTTAAGGCCTGTTCTTTCTCTGTTTTTTTTTCAGGTGGGCTGGCAACAATTAGGCATTTGTTTTCAGTTTGGCTATTGTTTGAAACCTTTCATAATCTGCATTTTACAATCTCTTTTAGATTTGTCTCTTTCCTGCCCAACTTGTTCATGATGATTTTTCGCATTATGCATGTTTTTACCTAATACATGTTAATGCTTTTATGGGCACACTATGAAATTGTTTAATTGTTAAAAATTAACCAGATATGCTGAGTGCATTTGAGATGTTACTTAATGCACGTCTACTTGTCACACTTCTTGCAAACAAACTTATAATTAGTTCATTGGGACGGCCAAACAGTCCAGTGCAAGCTTCATGATACCAGTCACTGCAGTCAATGCACTGCATACCGTCGTAAACAATCATATCCTGCACTCTTCCTGACATGACTAAATCTATGCTTTATACCAGCATGCTCTGCCATCTCATACGCAAGCTTGCACACAGCCTGCAGTCCAATGCCGAAGCCTTGGCTTTCAAGATCTTTGATGTGGCGTACAAGTTCATCCTCATCAGCCATGCTGAATACTGGTGGTCTTGTAGCCGGCAAGGAACTCGGTATCCCCTTGCGGATCCTTCTTGACAGTGTTGATTTGGGGACTCCATACTGTTTAGCTGCCTCTCTGATGCCTAGTCTCCCTTCAGTTACTGCTGTATAAGCACTAGCCATTGCATCGGACTGCCACTTCCCTTGCTTCGGAGTCCATGATTTTTTCTTCCGAGCCATGTGCAGGTCTGCAACAAACACAACAATTAAATAAAATATAACTTTATGTAATTGGCACAAGTACTCTGAAATAAACTTATGAGAGTTTATAATTATATAAATTGACATAAAACTTTGAAACTATTTGAGCACAGCCAAATATTTAGCACCAACACGTGCACAGCCACGGTGTACATGATGCTAATTCCAACCTGTCCCACTTACCCCAAACCAATGGGGTAAGTGGGACACATGGAAAATATGCATATTTCCTCATAATTAGATGCATAAGCTTACTTAAAAAAAAGATTAAAATGAAATCAACAATCCCCAAACACAGTGCACTATCCCTTTTACACCAAGTATCAAAAACATTTCATTAAATATTATGTTGAAATATGTGTCCATTATGCATGTGTTAAGAATTCAAAATGGCCGCCATTACGACACAAACCTTGCATTTGGTCTAGTAATTTTTCATCCTTTTTCCAATGTCGAAGTCATTTATATGTTTTGAAAAGGACTGTAACATGTATTTAAAAGATCAACTTACAGACAAACATTGTTTGCTAAATAATCCTGTTTGTTTACGACTAAAAATTTAAAAAGAACTTATCATAATATTCGGCAATACAGTTCCACAGTAATGAATGTCAAACGCTGAAACAATCAAGGCACATTATGCATGGCAACATTTTTAAAAATCCACCAAAAAAAATCACAAGAAACTCATGATACAAATAACGTAACTGGTTAATGCTTACCTCTCACAGAATGTATTCCCAACAAAAGCGACCTGAAATTCGGCTGGAAATCACTCTTTTCCTCCCGAAAAAGGAGCTACACGTTAACCCCTTTTGTTCACTAAAACAAAAGAATTAGTAATATGAAGACTGGGCGCGAGGGCGCAAGAGGTGTACCGAGAAAAATCACTTTTTTAGGGAGAAATCTTTCGCTTAGAAGATTGAAATTTGCCACGTTGATGAATATGTTTGTTCTGACAAGAAAAAAAATCTTTACTCCAGTGAAGCTTTATTCACAAAGGAAACATAAAGAGAAAACCTAGACTTGTCCCACTTACCCCAGTGTCCCACTTACCCCACTTTACCCTAATAGATGTAGAAACAAATTCATGTTCACCCCATCAGAAAAAAAACAAGTCTTGCTTACACTTGAAACAATGAATCCTGCCTCATTTCTCCTTTGTATCATTCAATGCTTTTTTGTGTGTTTAAACTCCAAGCTTAAGACTTCAAACTCCAATGCTTCTTGAATGGAGTATTACTTCCTTTCTGTGCTCTTTCTGCAAAGATCAGTCGAGGGATGTGCATGCAATTTTCTTGAAAAAGCTCCACCAACGAAATGGATGTTATTGTGTCTTGCCTAACGCAATGGTTACTTGGCCTGTGTCAGGCCGCTGTGATAATTGCTTTCCTGTCTCAGTGGTAACTTAGCACCGGTCATCTGCGGACAGTAGTTCAGCCCTGGACGCTTTATTAGAGAATAGCTTTAAAAAAAAAGGAATCTTGATCTGGAACCTCTTTAAAAAATAAATGCACATCGGAGGCTTGTTCACGTCCATGACCGCTTTTTTGAAAGTGCGAGGGCCCCTTGGTGGTATGGGTGTAGTCATTGCTTGCCTCCACGACGTTTTTACGCCCGGCCCCTGCCGTCAACAATCGTTCCCCCGTCCCGAAGAAGCTTAGGCCGATACTCGACCACTAGGGCACGGCCGTTAGTTCATCCACGAGAGGAGAGAAGAGCGAGAGAACCTGAAGGGCAATAACCGGGGGAAAGATCCCCCGGGACATGTGCGATTGTCTTCTTTTTTTCTGGCCGGCACGTACGAGGGGGGAACAGTCTCCCTACTCCTTGAATATCACTTCATTATTCATAATACTCCACTCTGCTGTTAGCTTTTCTTCCCATGCCCTAGCCCTGAGTAACCCGTGTTTGTGCAATATTTGTGTGCCTAGCGTCAATATTGGGGCTATAATGTAGCCACGACCGCATCCACGCACTCGTAGTGCGATCCTAGTCCGCCATTTTGGTTCGTTTATTCACTATAAAAACACCGTAAAGTTCAAGTTTATCTTATTTCCCCCTCTTTTTGGCTTCATTGGGTCGAAATTGTTGCTCGTGCATTATAAGTTGGTGATACTGTGTCTTTAGGGTAGTTTTAAGTTTTTGACACAAGCAATAAATAAGCTTAGACCAATTTATTTTGCAATCTCATACAGGTACAAGGATTCATCTGGGTTATGGATGTTTCATCTTGTTGGAGAAGGACGGTGTTGCCGTTTTTGATTTGGTTGATAAAACATCCGCGGAGAATAAAATGCATTGGATATAAGATTACTTGGTGAGTTTCGGTTTTGTGTTTTCCTTCTTGCTGAGATGCTTTCTTTTATGATTCTCGAGTTAGCTCCTTGTTTGTATTGGATGAGTGCGAATATTGTCATGGTTTATCACTCTCTTCTTTGTACAAACATTTGTGGAGTTTCGGGTCATAGACATACATGTATATGAATGTTAGTTCTGATTGCATGTGTAATAGTTTAATATCAATTGGAAAGAATATCTCGGAGAAGGTTACAATAATAATACAAACTGAGTTGAGATCATGTTCATGTTGAAAGTTTTGATAATTCTACTCTGGATCGAGTAAATCTGAACTAATAATCATACTGCTATTATAATTTTATTGTTTCATCCATTGTACAACCTCCACATTACATTTTGTCTGGAAGATTAGTGCAGGTTTTAAATGTGATACTATCACAAAATGTACCAACATTATTAAAAAACAACGCAATGTATTTTAAATCGGCTTCCGATTGCAGAGAGTGATGGAAATGTCGCTCGCCACTTCATGACACTCTGCAAGCTTCGCGCAAACACTTTGCTTTTCCCGATTCTTATTTTTTCTTTCGATTTCTGCCAACGAAATATAGATCTCGAGTATAATTTCCAGGGTACGACATGACCTCCTTTGGGGGGGGGGGGGGCTGGTTACAGCTCACAAGTCTGCAGGAAAAGGTGTGAAGAGAACGACTAGACGGGTTAGGCGTTACGTGTTTTTGTAATTACACGAGTGAGCGCCAGCTACCGCCAATACACCCCCAAAATATTCCCCTGATAAGTGAGGTCAATAGTTAACCTCATAGCATAGTTCATCAAGCGTCGTTGTCCTCGATTCGCCGAGCTGGCAGAAGCCTTGTAGCGGATTGATTTCAGAAGCTCACTAATGTGAGAAAAATAAAGATGTACAATCATGCAGGCAGACGGACGAACGAACGAACGGACGAACGAATTATAGCCGTGTCTGACCTCATTGCAATATAACGCGGTAGAGCATGTTATTATTTGATCACTTTTTCCCGTCCATGTTCGGATGTTTAAAGATTTGAAGTCGATTACTTTATTTCAGCGCACACAAACCAGGCTTGAGCAAGACTTGTACGCGAGTCCTCAAACCTCGAGTCCGAGTCCGAGTCTGAGTCATTTAGGTCGAGTCCGAGTCCGAGTAACGGGTCATTTAGGTCAAGTCCGAGTCCGAGTAACGGGTCATTTAGGTCGAGTCCGAGTCCGAGTAACGGGTCATTTAGGTCGAGTCCGAGTCCGAGTAACAGGTCATTTAGGTCGAGTCCGAGTCCGAGTAACGGGTCATTTAGGTTGAGTCCGAGTCCGAGTAACAGGTCATTTAGGTCGAGTCCGAGTCCGAGTCATATGTCACTTAAAAAAATCAATTATAAAAAGGCACAAAAAGCTCATCAGAAGGCCTACGTGATTTGAAGTCGATTTCTAGAAGAGGCACTTTGTTTTCTTGGGACATTATGTAAGTAGAGAGTGGCATTATAGGCAGCAAGGCGCGCATCGATTTGCATCATAGCCTACTTCTATGACACACACATACCTTAAAGTAATAAAAAAAAAATTGCGGTAAAAATGTTCAAAATGTCCGTGCGGTTTCGGCCTTGAACAAAGCTTCTTTACACTTCTAAAAACTGAAACCGTACTATAAAAATACAAAAAAAAAAAGGCCGGGAAGAAACACGAAGAGAATATTGACACTAAAGGCTGCCGCCTTGAATTTACTTTCGCCTTCACCGCAATCGATGTCTTTATGTGTCAAAAATTGAAAGATTTTATTTGATGTCTGAACTTTCGATGCGGTACAATTGGAGGACGGGACTGGATTTGTAAAAACCCCTTGGTACTCCCTGAATTCATTGGTAACCAGACACTGAACTAATTGTCACTACTGTAGGAATACCAGTATGTACATTCAAGTTGTCCATGGTTCGGAGACCTCGTCGGTATGATCGTGATTGCTCAGGTGCGTTTTGATACCATTTGGTTGTTTTTGTTTGGGGTTTCGTTGATGTTACATATACCTGTGTTTTACTTTTGGTTTGTAATTGACCATTGTCTTCATTTTTACATTTTAAAATTTTTGAAAGCGTCAAAATAATTAATTTTGTTTATTCTTCAACGCGAACATCTTTCAATTTGATACTCTTTTTTTTTTTAGAAGCTTTGCCTCATTTTGCGTTTGGCATTGTGAGAAAAGATTACATCGCACAATATGACAAAGTTGTAATTCGCAGAGATTGAGCAATATCGGTGGAGCTAAATCCGCAAATTCACTTTTAGCATTTTTTTTAGCAATTGTAGCATTTTTTCAGGATCTACAGACAGTAGTTTTTGCCGTCACTACAAGATTGTTGTTGTTGTGCATCAGCGGGCGTTCACTGCTGCCATCAAATTAGGAGACAAACCGCTTTTCTGGCCGCTAATAAATCCTGCCATCTCTGCCGCCGCATGACGCTAATCCCTTCATTTTGAAACAGATTAAAATGTGATCAAAATTCCCATGAAATCTAATCCCATCTTGAGGATTATCGGTCATGCCTATAATCGGCTGCAGGACCGAGCAAGGAGCTATCTTCTTGATTTGATGATGAGGAAGAAGGTTCTATAACAGAATGTTCGTTTTGGCAGACGTGGGGATGCAAAAAGCCCTGGAAATAAAACAATTTCTGGGTTTTCTTTTTTTTTGGGGGGGGGGAATGAGGTTTTGTCTTTTTTAGAATTCGCTAAATTTTTCTTTAAGTGTGCTAAAGGGAAGTGTATTTGCTTTTATATCATTTGTTTGAGAGGGGAACCGTTAGGTTTCAATTCTACAGAATTTTTTTCTTCGAATTTGGTTATTGGGGCATAAACAATAAATACACGCAGACATAGGCCTACACAATGACAAAGACCATGGAACAAAGAAGAGAAAAACATAGAAAACATATCAGGGGAAACTGAAGTAAAAGAGAGAAACCACAAGCAGGAAGGAACTGGCTAATACTAAACACAGGCTTCTAAGTATAGATTGCATTGGCCGATTAAATACTTGTCTTAATAGCCTCATTCTTATCTTGAATACGCAATTTCCTTAATTAATACCATCAAATGACTAAGAATTTAAAATCTGCGCTCACTCTTTAGCACCGTGCTGAAATCGTATTGCACCGTGTCATAACGAAGCTGTTCTGCGCATGCACGGTCGCAAGGAACTGCTCCGACGAAAAACAAAACAACGTTGGAAGGATTGTGCGCACGCTTGGATAAAAACATACGACAGCGCCCAATACGATCGGTCACTATCTGACATCAATTTGACGGACCATTCCCTGACCTTGATGTGCGGATTGCGTGGATTAAAATAAGAAATCCCGCATCAGGTTTATAACGTTATAAGCCAAAGCACTACCTCCGCCTACTACCATCAAGATAATTAAACATGGCCATTGACAATAATTACACGTGCCACTTTCGTCATGATCGGGTCGTCCACAATCGAGAACAAAGACAAACCGGCTTGGATTATATCGTTTGGAAAGTTGAAAGCGAGTCTGATTTAATACTTTAAAGACAAGACGTGAAGTTTGTCGCACAATTTATGACTTTTTTTATTCTGACGTCTAGTTCAATAACATTTTTTTGAAGAAGTGAAGGATTAATTTAGCTGCCATCTGGAGCAATTGTTCATGTATTGTCGCTGGGTGCTCACCAATTATTTTACAGTATATTGGCGCCTTTAAAC